GCGGTGACGAGGGCGCCGCTCGTGTAGACGTCCTTGTCGGAGGCGTGCGTCACCACCAAGCCCTCCAGGATCTTCATGCTCGCCTTGGACATGGCAATGTACCTGCGCTTCGGGAAGCCGGCCTCGTCCTGCTCGTAGGAGAGGGTGACAAACTCCGAGACGTGGGAAATCATCGCCGACGGCACCCCCTCGACGTCCGTCCGGAGCATCTGCACGGCGGACAGCGTCTGCGTCTGCAACGGCGTCGCCGACTCGACGTCCATGACGTAGCTCTCAACCGTCGCCTCTTCGATTGTCTCGCGCAACAGCGTGAGTATGCGCTCCACCCTGCCCACGTCAAGCTTGCTCTGAATGAGCTTGTACACTTCCCGCAGCGCTGCGACGTATGCCACCAGGCAGTTCTGGTTGTCTTCGGTCTTGCCCGTCGTGCTCACCGACGTCGGGATGCCGCGCGACCACAAGTCCCACGCAAACTCGACCGTCGTGTCATTAAACGCCGACTCCTGGTCGCTGCCGGTCTGCGACAAGACATGGCCCAGTGCCTTAAACGTGGCGGTGTTGACGTCGAGGATCCGAAAGTCCAAGAGACGGGCAAGGTGGCCGAGTAGTTCACGCCACAGCTCGTTGAAGGAAGGGTGCGCCGTCAGCTTGTCTAGGTAGTTGGCCAGCAGGGTTGAGATGCCGTTGAGGACGACTACGGCGGTCCCGTGCCACTCGGCGCGGTCCTTTGCCTCCGCCTCGGCGTCTTCGGCGCCCCTGAGCTCGTCCTCGAGCGACGAAAAGAGTTGGAAGATGACTGATTTGATGCAGATGGACCAGGCCTCCGGGCTGAGGCGGTCGCCATACGCATCAAATATGCGGAGGAGGGTCTGGATGGCGCTGTTGCGCAGCTCGAGCCGCTCGTCAGAGGCGACCGTCGTCAGTCTCAGGAGGAGCAGCATCCACAAAGCCGCGTCGGACCCAGGCTGGCTGCGGTCGGCCGCCAGCTTCTCCAGCCTGGAGTCGTCGGCGCCGTCGACCAGCTCGGCAGTGATGTGTAGGCTCTCTTCCTTGGCAGACAAAAAGTCGGAGAGCACCCAGAAGAACGTGACGGTCTTCTCCAGTCAGTACGGGTTCGGCCGCGCGCGCAGGGGGGAGGCCGACTTACCGTGAGAGCAATGTTCAGGTCATCGTCTTGCGAGCAAAACTTGTACAGGGTGTCTACAAGGATCAGGAAGCACGAGTTCGGCAGAGAGCCTAGGAAGTCGGAGCAGATGAGTTGCAGCGAGCTGAAAGCCGACCGAACGAGCTTGGAGGATCGAGTGGTGAGCAGCCCGGCGTTGGCGACGGAGCCCCGTCTCTCTTGGATGGGCTGCTTCACGGAGTCAAACACGGTCCCGATGATCTCGAACGTGATGTCCCAGCCGCTGACGAGAGTCTCCCCGCAGCCCTCGACGATGCTCTTCAACCCCTCGAGGATGATCCTGTGCACGTCCACGTCCGTGGCGACGTTGGCGACGGACGCGCCCCGCGCATGTTTCAGCAAGGGTCGCAGCGCCTCGTTCAGGGCGCCGAGCACCCGCAGCTGTATCGGCCCGCGAGATTCCGCAGGCATGGAGGTGGCGGCGTTGGCAGACTCCAACATCAGTCGTCCGAGCGTCTCGGCCGCCTTGACGCGCACCGGAGGAGCCATGGCCGGCGAGTCGAGGGCGCTGATGAGCTCCTCGGTCAGCCTGTCCCAGCCCGAGGCGGCCGGGTCCGTCGTCAAGAGGCGCCCGATGTTGATGGCCGCAAGCTCACCGAGCTTTGCCAGCGCAAAGAGATACTCCTGCGTGGACGAGCCGGCGGCCTGGCTCGAAAAGCTCAGCACTCGCCGGTGCTGGCCAGGCGCCGGACGGAGCGACTTGTCGACAGTCGGGGGCGACTGCGCTCTGTTGGCCGACGCACCATCCCCGGGTCCCTGTTCGAGCAGACCGCACATGGCCTCCACGACCTCCATGAACGAAGCGTTGGGAAAGTCGACGCTGCTCTCCACGAGTCTAGAAGCCGCCGTCTCGACCGATCGGACCTCGTGATTGAAGTTGGCCATGAGAGAGTTGTTATCGCCCTCGGGCTGGTCTTGGCCACGGCCGAGCGACGGCGTCCGCCCTGGCGCCTTGCCGGTGACAAACAGGACATAATCGGCTTGCTGGAGCGTCTCGAGGATGATGCCCCAGGCATTGCCGAGCGTCGGTCCCAACGCGATGCCGAGGTTCAGTAGCGCCCTGAGGCACAGGAGGTTGCGCGTGTTGAGAGTCGCCGCGGCCGCATCGAACGACACCTGGCGCTGCTTCTCGGCCGAAGGAGACAGCGGCGCGAGGGCTTCGACACTCAAGAGACCTCTCGCGTTGCTGAAGAGGGAGTTTGGCGTCTCCGGGGCTGCGGTCGGCGTCGTCACACGCGCTTGGCCTTGGGTGTGGCACGCGGTGAGGACGTTGGGAGGCACGGCCGACTTGCCGAGCGTCGTCAGGAACGCATCCCTCGGGGTTGAGAGGTGGAGCAGACCGGCGACGTGGGCGAACCTCTGGAACGCCCTGACGAGTCCGTGATAGTATTCCTGGTCGAGGGATGCGTACAGAAACGTCGAACAGGTGGCTAGGATGGCCGGCCAGCACTCGTCGACGATGGCGGCGCAGATCTTGACCTCTGGATAGGCGGGGTCGTTGACCAGCTCCAGAGGGTTGGCGGGGACGGGATTTCGCTTGAATGAGCCAGACCTTTCCGGGCGCGTCCTAGGCTGTGAGCTGTCGGTTGCACTCTGGTCTGGCGAGTCTCTGCCGGGGGCGTCCTGCTTCGACACCTTGCGGCGCCCTCGGTTCTCGCTCGGCACGGTCAGGGGGAGGACAAACTTGGCCAGGCCGTCGGAGAGGAATGATATGCAGGTCAGGACCAGGCTATAGATGTAGGATTCTGGAATCGGCGGCGGATCCGTCTTGTCGAGCTGATCGATGCACGGGACGCGGACCGAGCTCCATTGCATGCTGATGCCTGTGCTTGGAGTGTCCGACCCGACCGTGCTCCCGATGATGCCCGTCACGCCGCTAGCCTCCAGCATGGCCTGGTCTGAGGGCGTCGTGGACGAACCGCTCGTGTCGGCTGCCGCCGGAATGGTAGATTGGTGGCCGAGGCCAATGACTGCCGGCTTCTCTGTGCTCAGTCGCACAAACGTCGCCGTGAGCGTCTTGAGGATATCCCTCTCGCCCTCCTTGGCGTCGTAGAGGGCAAAGATGCGGCGAACCAGCCCAGCATCGCCGAAGATGCCGCGAAACGCTTCCATGCAGAGTGCTCGCTTCCAGAGCGCGGTGTCGTGGTCGAGCAGCTGGGTCAAGATCTCAAGGGCGTCGGCGCACTCGGCAGGTAAGATGCCCATGTGTCCACGCAACATAGTGTATAGAATGCGCACGAGACGCACGGACGTCGCAAAGGACGGCTTGCCTTTGAGCGCGCTCACAACGAGGGGCACGACACGAGCACGGAGGATCTGGGCCTGCTCCGGGTGGGTGGTGAAGACCTCGGAGTGGTTGGTGATGACCGACTCGATCAGCTCCAAGCCAAACGTCTGCGGCAGGCCGGAGAAGCGCAGGAACTCGGGGCGCTGGTTCTCCGTCATGAGACACAGGTCGTGAAAGATCTAGCCGCGTTAAATTAGCCGCCGTCGGCATCGGCAGACGAGAAAACACCCACCCTGTACGCGTCCAGGGCCGCTGCGCGCAAGCCGACGTTGCCATCTGGGGTGGACACTTCGCCCGCCACAGGGGCATCGGCGCCGTTTTCTACGCGGGTCAGTCGCGGGGCTCATCGACATGGGGCGCAAACAAGCAAGCTCACCGTCCTCGGCGACGACCTTGTCAAAGACGGAGACGACCAGCTGCTGCAGGGTGGCGGCCGAGGTGTTGTTGACGATGGCGTTCTTGCTGCTCTGCAGGATGAAGCAGATGTTGAGGGCCGTGACGAGCAGGTCGCCGCGGATGTCGTCGGCGTAGTTCTGCAGCAGGGACGGCAGGGCCTGGAGGATCTTGAGCTGGACGTCGAGCCCGGCCGACGAGGCCTGCATGAGCGCCTCGAGCACCTGGTTCAGCTTGGCGCGGGGCAGGGCGCGGGCGACGATGAGGCGCTGCAGGCACACGATGGCGATGCCGGTGAACTTGGCATTCTTGGTGCCGCAGGCGATGATGAAGGGGTTGACGAAGCTGGGCTTCTGGGAGAGGACTGCTCGTGCGCCGCGTCAGCCGGCACTCTGGGAAATGGCGGCCGCCATCATCATCATCATCATCATCATCATCCACGACAAGGAGCACGACTCACGCTCCGGGGCCGTCTGCTCGGACGCGTTGCCGAGCTGCTTGAGCTCCTCGAGGGACTTTTCCGCGGCCTGTTGTTGCACACGACGTCAGGACACGATGTGACGAAGAACAGAGAGGGAAAGTTCCCAGCCGACGAACCTGGCGCAGGTCATGGTGCTTGCGCTTGCTCTCCTGGATGAGGTTGGCCAGCTCCGAGGCCAGCAGCTGCGTCGTCATGTCGGGCGATGCGGCGCGTCGGTGCGCTCGCGGGTGAGCATGCGCGCCCGTCTCGTGTCCATGCAGCTCGCCACCGCGGCAGGGCGTGTTTGTCTCGTCGCGAGGGCCAGCAGCGCGGTGTCGAGGTGCCTGTCGCCGGCGATGCAGCACTGAGGTGTCGAGGTACGAGGTACGAAATACGTTGCACCAAGTACCACCAGCCGCGTACGTAGGTACTCGTACCTGCGGCAAGCCGCTACCGTGTCTTGCGTGCGTCGCGTCAAGGGGAACGTGGCAGAACCCCCACACCGCCCGGCCCAAAGCGCCTGTGCCCCACCACACCTCCACAAGCTGATGGTGGCGCACGTCCGTCCGTCCAGCCCCAGTCCGTCTCATGCGGGCCCCGTCAACCGCCGGCCCCTCCCTCGCACAAACACCCGCATAACCATCAATAAGCTCTCTCATCGTACCCTCCTGCACACAGCCAAGATGGCCGAGTGGTTAAGGCGGTGGTTTTAAGTTTTGTTCTACTTTGACACCACTATCGAGAGATTCCAGGGTTCGAACCCCTGTCTTGGCATTTTTGCCGGCCCGGGGACTGGGGACTGGGGACTGGGGACTGGGGACGGGCGGCGATGCCGACGTCTCTTTTTGCCGGGGGCGACGGCGAGGCTCGACGGTTCGAGCCCCGGCTGCGTGCGGCGTGGGGTTGTTTTTTTCTGCCCGCCGGACGGCTTGGGTTGTCAACTCGTCGCTTCAGAGGTCCTGATCTTGGTAGAGTACGCCATGACATATTTCGTATCTCGCTATTGGTGTGGGATATGGACATGCCATGCCTCGCGACTTGGTGCGTCGGCACCGGCACCCCCCGCTTCAACCTCACGACTACCGCGACCACGGTACAGACATGGCCAGTGAGTAAGGTACGTCTAATTACTGCATACGCTTCCGCTGTCCCGTCTCATGACATTGCCGAGGCCGCACGGCACAGCTCGCATGCCACGCCCCATCTGCGCCTCTCGCGTCTAGACGCATGTGTGTTTGTGTGTACGCCCAGCAAGACGACCGGCGGCCACCATCTCTTGTAACAAAAACAAAAATTACACCCTGCCATGGTCAGCGCGGGCCTCTGCGCCTTCGCTTCGAACCAACATACCGACGCCGTAAGACAATCTAATACCCGTGAAAATGCGTGAATTCATCAAACCGGAACGTTGGTGAAGAGATACGAAACCGACTCGCCGTTGTGCGTGCGGCGGATGGCCTGCGCGGGTCAGCACTGGCGACGTGGTGTGTGGTGTGAGGGAGCCCTACCTCGGCGAGGGTGCCGGAGACGTCAATGACCTTGAGCTTCGGACACCGCTCGGTCTTGTCGCCCAGGGGCACGGCTGCGCACTGGTTAGCTCGAGCACTTCTGCGCGCATGCGTGGGAAAAAACGCACTGTTGGTCACGACCAGGCCGGACAGGCACGACTGGTTAATGTTATCGATAGCCTTGCCGCTCAGGATTCCGTGCGTGACGATAGCAAACACCTTCTGAGCGCCGTGCTGGTTGACCGTCTCGGCGGCCTTGACGAGCTGTGGACGGACGCGTTAGCCCGCGTGCGCGCGCGCAGACCGGAGAGACTCATGTCACTTACCGTGCCGCACGTGTCGGCCATGTCGTCGACGAGGATGGCGACCTTGTCCTGGACGTCGCCGACGAGCACCATACGGCCGACGACGTTGGGGCGCGGGCGCTCCTTGTGGATGAGCGCAAAGGCCGTGTTCAGGCGGTCGGCAATGGACGTCGCGCGCTTGGCGCCGCCGGCGTCGGGTGAGACGATGACGCAGTTGGCGACGTCGAGGTTCTCTCGGATCCAACGCAGCACCGAGGGCTCGGCGTACAGGTTGTCCACGGGGACGTTGAAGAAGCCCTGGATCTGCGAGGCGTGCAGGTCCATGGTGATGACGTGGTTCTGCGACGTGTGTAAGCCGACGGCGTCCCGGGGGGGGGTGAGTGCCGCGGCGCGGGAAGGGGGGGGGGGGAAGAGAGACGTACGCAGCCGGAGACCTGCAGCATGTTGGCAATGAGCTTGGCGCTGATGGGCGCGCGCGACTTGTCCTTCTTGTCCTGGCGGGCGTAAGGGAAGTTGGGGATGACGGCGGTGATGCGCCTAGCCGAGGCCGTCTTGCAGGCATGAATCATGATGAGCAGCTCCATGAGGCCATCGTTGACGTCGCCGGGGGCCGTCGACTGCAGGATGAAGACGTCCTCATCGCGGACCGACTCGCCGATCGAGACGCTCGTCTCCTGGTTGGAGTAGTTGAGGCTCATGGTGTTGGCGACTGAGATGCCCAGCCTGCGATGCGCATGTCAGTGAGTGTCTGCGTGAGAGCTCGCCCGTCCAAGACGCCGGGACGAGCGTCGGCGGCGGCATCGGCATCGGCGCCCACCACCGCCGCGGGGTGGAAGCGGTCGGCGGCGGCCCGTCGAGACGCAACGTACCGGCTGGCGACCAGGGCGCTCAGGTCGGGGTGGGAGCTGCCCGAGATGAGCTTGATCTCGTTTGCCATTTGGTCCAACATGGCCGCGGCGGGTGCGTGTGCAGGAGGAGCGGGAGGGCGAGGCGAGGTTGAGGCGGCACGGGGCCCTGGAATTCCCTTTCGGCTCGGGCAGAGAAATTTTTAGCGGCGGCAGGCGGCGATGCGACCCGAGCTGCAGGCAGGCAGGTGTCTCAGTCTGCGCTGGCCGGCCGTTGCTGGCGAATGTCGTCGGAGCCGCGAGGGTGAGTGTCGAGCACAAGGTCGTGAGCACGTCGCGCAGGGCAAAAAGTTTTGTCACGGTTTCGAGCCGCCCGTCATCGTCCATCCATCACCACGTCCAGTCCCACCCTAGGTTAACCTTTGCAGTGGTTCCGTTCCCGGGCGAGAGCGTCGGCGCGGGCGCTGGCCCGGCCGGCTGAGTCATGTGACGGGCGCTGTCAAGGTGTACTGCGGCGCTCAGGGTGCCTGCGTATGGCCACGGGTGCCATTTGCGGCGGGTCCAGCGCTGGAGTCCGGGGACGGTGCCAGTGGAGTCCTCGCCTCTGCACTGGGCTGCAATGGAACCTTGGAACCTGGAAGCTGAGGTGCACAGCAGTCGACTGATGGAGTCCACATGCCACATCAGTTCTCGCTGGCCGTCCAAGGTTGAGGCTTCCGACACCTACTGGCAGCTGGCGCGCCGGAAAAATACAAAATAAATTTCCACGTTGTCAGTGCTGCATCCGATCCGGATCCTTGCCATTGATGCATCCCCTCCCGTCCGTGTCAATCGCAGCAGCAACTTCAAGCGGTGAGTCCCTGGAATAAGGTACAAGTGCGCTCTCGCTCCACAGATTGGTATTGGAACAGGCCCATTGGATGGCGGCCCCCGGGTTGCGACGGTTCATGCTGCAGCTCGCTGTCACTTTGGCTTCTAGCGCGGCTCGTCGCCCGACGTTAGCGTGCAATGGCGCCGCTGAAACCTTGCCGGCACTGCCCCGGCGGCGGCAGCCCCCCCAAATACCACCCCATGCGTTCGGGCTGTCGACCACGCACGCACGAATGTCGTCAGAAACTTGCCATCTGAGACCTCACTGCTCCTCTGCACCCAACGTGAGCACCTGCAGACCGGTCTGCGCGCTCCCGCCTGCACGCCGGCGATCCGACGACGACGACGACGAGCCGCACGCTGCACCGGAGCAAACATCCTGCACGTGATTGGAGCCTCACCGGGAGACCGGTCGTGCCCAACGACACCCCTTCTCCGCCGGCGGCGGCATCGCCGCTCGACCTGACCCGACGGCGCCCGCCTGTGTCGCCACCCAGGGACGTCCGAACCATGTCCCGCGATCGAGCCTCGTCTCCTTCGTCATGGCGACCTACCCGTCCTTTCCGCCGCGGCTGACGTCGACGCTGTCCTCGTCGTCGTCGCTGGCCGACATGAACACCCGCCACCGCAAGCTGCACCTGCTCGTCGCCGCCACCGGCCCGCGCGACACGTCCTGGGCCCAGGCCCTCGTCGTGCGCCTCTCCAAGAACCAGCAGATCGAGACGAGGGCCATTGTCGACGACGTGGTGCCGCGGCTGACGCAGACCATCATCGTCATGGAGAACCGCACCCTGGCACCCGGCCAGGGCGACCGCGCCGACGACATCGAGTTTTACAGGCAACAGGCCTTTGAGTTGGTCGAGTGGGCCGACCTGATGGTCTGTGTGCCGCTCGACGCGGACGGCATCGCCAAGATGCTCGCGGGCATCGCCGACACCTTCCTCGGCGAGGTGTTGCGCGGGTGGAACCCGCAGAAGAACGTGGTGCTCGTGCCTGGCATGAGCACGCACATGTGGTCGAACCCGATGACGAAGCGCCACCTGAGCAAGCTGTACCGCAAGTGGAACTGGATCCGGGTCATGACGCCGATACTGTGGCACTACGAGGGCGCGCCGAACCCGAAGCGCGTGCCCAACTGGAACGGCTTCAACGAGGTGCTCGGCATCATCAAGAACCAGGCGGACCTGCTGGGGCTCGGGCGCGACGTCGAGATCGCCACCAACGCCCCCATGGTCTCGGACAGCGACGTCATGGTCCAGGCCAAGCTGCCGCCCGAGATATGGACCATCGTCCTCGACTACGCGGGCGACTGGGAGCTGGCGCGGGCGCTGGGCATGTACACGAACCTGCCCATGCCGCCGCCGTGGCGTCTCGAGCCGCAGGACCCGACCGACCCGCTCAAGGTCTACGAGCACGAGCTGGAGTGGACGGTGCTCACCGGCAACTCGGCGGCCATCTGCAAGAAGCTATCGCAGTCGCCGCCCAACTTCCAGGACATACCGGCCCTCGTGGTGAAGCTCGTCATACGCTTCGCGCTGATCGAGGTGCTCGAGTACATGGAGAACAACCGCCCGGACCTGTTCAAGGCCTTTGACGGCACGACGCTGCCGACCAACGCGTCGGCCTACTATCCGCGGACCGACGTCCTCGACTACTGGAAGCAGAGCAGGTGGTTCCGCGACAAGCATATATACGACGCCGAGGCCGTTGACGGGGCGTCCAAGAATGGCCACGTGCGGATCCTCGACTGGTGGTGGAGGCGATCCGGCCTGCCGCTCCGCTACACCGAGACGGCGCTGGAGCAGGCCAGCGGACGGGGCCACCTGTTGGTCCTCGAGTGGTGGCGCGATGCCGCGGCGCAGGACGAGAGCATCGTTCTTCGCCCGGGGCGGTCCCTGCTGTGGGCGACCCAACACGGCCAGGCCGACGTGATGCGTTGGTGGGACGCCTCGGGCATCCCCGTGGCCCACGGCGACAGCGTGGCCAAGGTGGCCAGCCGCTGGGGGCGGGTCAACGTGCTCGAGACGTGGCGGCGGCTCAAGGGCGACAACAAGCTCGTCTTTGACGGCGAGGTGCTCATCAGCTCGACCATCCACCAGCACGTCGAGGTGCTCGAGTGGTGGCGCAAGTTTGCGCACGGGGAGCTCGAGGGCATGGACGGGCGCAAGCAGCTCGTCGAGTTTCGCACCTGCAACATCGAGGAGGCCCTTGAGGACAGCATCGGCGACCAGAGCAAGGCGCGCAAG